CAGTTTTGTTTCAAGCTTCTCACGACCTATAACCTCCCTCTTTTGATCTGCAAAGCTTTATTATACAACCTAGAATGAATTAGATTAACAAACTTGGCATGAATCTTTGCATTTATCCAAGATTTGATTTGATTTTCAATTTGTATGGTATCTTTCTACTTTCATGCCAATCATACCTTTCTTGTACCAATTGCCATTGATTCGAATTGATCATGCAAGCTCAGCATATCTTGATTGCCAATCTATAAAAAAAACAAATCAAATCATATCTTTGATAATTTTCATCATTTATTTGATTTAATTCACTTTTTAATTAATGAAAAATCAAAATAAATTAAAAAATGAAGCAAATAATGTGTGGATAAGTATTTGAGTCGTGGACCACATTATAATTGAAGTGCAAGCATAAAAAGTTGGGCCCATTTAGCAAAAAATGCAAATTTGAGCATATTTGACTTTTGGCAATTTTATAAAAATGGTCAACTTGGCCAATGCATAACTCTCTCAATTTTGACCCTAAAGAGGTGTTCTTGGACTTTTTATAAAGCTTATTATGTCCTCTAAGCAACCCTTTTGGTATCATCTCAATTGAATCTTCCATGTTCATGTATGAAGCTTTGACCCAAAAGGTGTTTTTGTTGACTTTTCAAAAGGACCTATAATGTCAAAATTCATATCTTTTTTGTGAGTGCATATTCTGAACTTGGGAGTTGCAAATGAATTGTATGGAATTGCATACTCTTAAAAATGAGCTTTGTATGGGTCATTTCTGATAAAGTATGAGAAAGTTATGCTTGGTCAAAGTTGAGTTTACTTTTCCTGCAAAACCCTAATTTAGCAACTTTTGGGTTTTGATGGATTATGAGCAATCCTTTAGGAATCATGATCAAAACTTGATCAAATGATGAATAATACTTTAAAATGAGGATGTTGACCAAAAATCTTGAAGTTTGACTGTATGTGGGCCACAGTTGACTTTTGACCTAACATAGTTGATTTTCAGGCATTTGAGCAATTGACTGAGCAAACTTCTTCTGCAAGGCTTGAAACTTGACATGGATGATATTAAGTACATATTAGGACAATTATGAGCATTTGAGTCCTTTTTGGTTCACCCATCTTGATGAATATGGAAACCCTAATTAGAGATAGATTGCCTTAGGAGAGAGTTTATCTGGTCAACTCTTGAACTTCCTTGAGCAATTTGGGGATCTCACTTGCCATGTGTTGAGAAATATGGGAGGGAAAATTTTGGGGTACAACAGTGATGCATTACTATTATTATATATTCCCATAATGATATGAATTATCACCCTTCTGTTTGAATGATGTTTTATACGACATCGCTCAGGTACCGAGGATAGTGACAATGCTTCTTGAAAGGAGTAGTTGGAGGAGCTAGTCCTTTATTTATCCATTTTACTAGGTAGTGAGTCATGCTCTGGTCTATATAACACGGAGAATTTTTGGATTCATGTTATCTATGTTCATGTTTATTTCAGAGATGTTATTTTACTCTTGGATATTGATGTTGGTTTGAGATGTATGTGATGATGGTCTTTAGTGCCTAATATTTTATGATATGAATGTCAGTACGTGATTTCAATCATTAATAATACTATGAGAAAGAATTATTTTCTGCTGCAAGATGCATATATGTTATTGTATGTACCATGATTCTAAATGCGTGTTACGATCATGACCAGTGTATTTGTTTTCTTGAGTTTCGTGAAGTAAATGTGACGCCCTCTTGAGATATGTATGATATTTACTCTGATTATGTCATTTATTTTATGTGGGGTTTAGGGGGTGTTACATAAAGTGGTATCAGAGCATGGTCGGTCAGTTGGTCGGGTTATTAATATGTTTATTTCCTTTTGTATTTGATATGTGTATATGACTCAATCGGCACTGTTTGTCTGATAAGGATTGTTGGTTGTTTGGAACTTTTAGGATGATGGTTGCAGGAAGGAATGATGATGCTATTGCTGAGGCGTTGGCAATGTTGGTCGGTGCGATTGGAAAATAACCGCACACCAATGCTGGAAACAAGGAGGAGGATGAATTCCGTGCTTTGGGGAAGTTTCAAAGGAACAATCCGCCAATATTTGAAGGAGCGTATGAACCTGACAAGGCACAAGTTTGGCTGAAAGCGATTGAGAAGATCTTTCGGGTCATGAATTGTTCGGATGCGTAGAGGGTGCAGTTTGGTACTCATATGCTTGAGAAGGAAACTGAGGATTGGTGGAGTAACATTGTTTAGAGGTTTGAGGAAGATGGGATTCAGGTTACTTGGGCACCTATTAGAGATGCATTTCTAGAGAAGTATTTTCCAGAGGATGTACGTGGGAAGAAGGAGATTGAATTTCTTGAGCTAAAGCAGGGTAATGGAACTGTGGCTGAGTATGCTGCAAAGTTTGGAGAGTTGATTAAGTTTTGTTCTCATTACAACACTGCTAATGCTGAGAAATCTAAGTGTCTTAAGTTTGTGAATGGCTTGAGACCTGAGATCAAGAAAGCCATGGGTTATCAACAGATTAGGAAATATTCTGAGATGGTTAACAAGAGTAAGATCTATGATGAAGATAGTAGGGAGATTGTTGCTTACTATAAGTCCTTGAGTGAAAAGAATGGATTCAGAGGAAAGCCATATGCTAATAAGGGGAAACAAAAAGCTGGTTATGACAGGAAACCAAGTGAGGAAGGAGCTCATACTCCTATTAAGTGCTTTAAGTGTGGTGTTGATGGATATCGTGTTTCTGATTGTACAAGTCCTGATGTGAAGTGTTTCAAGTGTGGCAGGCTAGGTCACAAGTCTAATGATTGCAGAGGAGGTGCAAGTGTGACTTGCTACAATTATGGTGAGCAAGGTCATATTAGTTCCAAGTGTGACAAGCCGAAGAAGGACCAAGCTAAAGAGAAAGTGTTTTCTTTATCTAGTTCCGAGATTCCTGTCGGGGATAGACTAATCCGAGGTACATGCTTTATTAATGGTACATCTTTGATTGCCATTGTACACCTTTGATCTCTATCAGCATACGAGTGAAATCACAAAATAATGAATCCCTCCTCATTGTAATACATATCTGGTAACTTCACAAAGTTCCACATCTTTGTCATGAATTGTTTTACTCTATTCATATCGAGTTCCCCTCCTATAACATATATGATAAGAGATGAATCCCTAAACTTAACCTCATTGATGATGTCAGATTCTTCAATCTGAACCTCAATCTCTCCATTGATAATCTTCGGTGCGACAAACTCCATCTTCCTACCATTTCCAGGTTTTCGATTTCCATTGAGCACTTCCACCCAAAGCTTTCTTGGTTCAATGTTGTCAATTGTTGTTTCTAGGGTTTTTTATTTGTTGTTTCCCTCTTCCTTATCAGTGTTTCTTGCTTTGAATCCTTCAAGTTCTTCCTCCTTATCATTTTCAGTCTCACTTCTTTGATGCTGATGACTTGATTCCCCTTTCTGTGGTAAACTCATCGTAGATGGTGACGCCGTCTTTTAATTTTTGGCCGCCCCCTTCCTCGAGTCATCGTCTTCGCTTTGTTGGTAGTTTATTTGTTATTATTGAATTGATTATGATATTAATTAATAATATATTATATTTATTTTAATAAATATTTTAATTTGAAAGGTTAAAGAAATTAATTTTGACATTTTTTTAAGTTAAATTATTTAATGATAAATTTTAACTCAAAAAGAGTTTATATTTATTTTAAATGTCAATTTAATGAATATAAAAATATAATAATTTTTTCTAAAGATGTTCAAATTTGGAAAATAAAATATTAAAAAATAAAAAATCTAATTTAAAGCTATGAGAGACAAGTTAGACGTATACATTAATATATTTTTAAAATTTGCAATATTTTTAGAATTTGCAATAATGAATGAGTTTAAAAAACGTAATCAATAGTATTAACTTATGTTACTTTTATGTTATTATTAAATTTATTATAATATTAATTAATAACATATTAAATTTATTTTAAAATATATTTTAAAAAAATGTTTTGATTTGTTGCAACTTGCTTTCAAAATAATATAACAAATGATAACAGAATGGAATTGAAATTACTGACCTTAAAAAATATTGTTATAGCAACCGTTCATATTCATACAAAAAAAAAAAACATGATTATTTTTTAGTTGATTTTTATTATAGATTAACAATAAAATTAATATATATCACTTGAGCTGTTTATATATTTGTATTTGAATATTCTAATTTATACCAAAATCACTTCCAATTAATTGTCATATTGTCATATTCTAATTTAAACTCTGTCACTTTTTGTCCATAAGTTGACTCCAAACTTGAATTGATATCGTAGAAAGATGGATCCATCAAAAGTTCTTCTATGAATTGAGACTTAAAAAACATAATTTAAATTTGTTAATAAATTTCTATAATTTTTAAAACATTAAGATATAAACTTTAAAATACATATTTTTCACACCAGTTTAATGATACTTATCTTCCTACTCTCAAGTGCTGTCGAACTTTGATAAGAGTCAAGATAAACTAATTCTTTTGCCTCAAAGTCAATTATCAGAAGAAATCTATGTAACCTTTCCATATCATTTATTGATAAAAATATCTGATTGTATTCAAAGTATAAGTATTAAAATTAAATCAATAAAACTCAATTTATAAGTGTTATATATATACACAGCAATTTATTTTGTAAAAAAAAAAAGGCAGAGTTCATAAAATATAATAGAAAGAAAGGTACAAAAATAAGGGGGGCAAGAACTTGACCTCAAACCTACTAATCCTGTAATTAGATAAGTCTAACTTATTTTTATTAAAGTCTAACAAAGCATCTGTGTGAACATCATTTCACTAAATAAAACAAGAAATCTTTAAATTTAAGTTAACTAATTTATCTGTATAATGATTGATTATCTTTATGAAATATGTGGGAAGCCAAAAGTTCGAAACTATGCAACTTAAACAAACAAGACTCCCATCAGCTATGAATATACTAAGGAACCACACAAGAGTTGCTAAAAGCCAAGACCACAAGAGATGAATCGGTTTCCATCCAGAGATTTGACCAATTTTTACGGAAAGCTTGTTCCATGGCAAAAATGGTCCCCATGAACTCCGCGAATAAAGCATTAACATGTCCTAAATTATAACAAAAGCTACCAAGATGTTCACCAACCTTATTTCAAAAAATTCCCCCGCAACCAGCCATGAAAGGCAAACCAGCTGATGCACCATCAACATTAACTTTAATCCAACCGGGTTGGGGAGGCAGCCAAAGCACTTCCAACATGAATCTCCTCCACCTTGAATTTTTTCAAGGTAACGAAGTACGAATAGAAGAATTAGCTCTATCAACAGTCATAATTTCCCGACATGACCGTGACAGAAATAATTTTGGCACAATATATAATTTTGATCCATATTGTTAACCATTTTGATTTTGGTTCATAGATGTTTTGTTGTTGTTTTTGTATATATCTGTTGTGATTCAAAAAAATATAAGTTATAATGAAATTTAAATAAAAATTAAAAATATATATATTTTAAAAAGAACAGAGAATTTCCCTAAAGTTGGTTCTTTTAATAGTGAGAAAAAGTAATCCCCCTTTATCACCTCGGTTAAAATCCACAACTATGGTGGAAAGACAGTGATACGAGTCATTTTAAAAATGTAAAAATATTGTTGTTGGGTATCAAACACATGACCATGCTATTTTTTATAATGATTGGACATTCCAATATTGGTGAAAAGTGGTGTGCTATCCAATTTTTCACCTCAACCACTAGCTCGTGATATAAAGTAAGGTCATTTCTATCATAATATTTGTTACCACAAACCATTAATCGTGGTAAAATCATTTTCTTCAATCACAGTGATAGATATTTTTACAGTAGTGCTAAGGGTTAAAGTGATAATTGAATTTAAATTTAATCCTTCCTCATATTTTTTTTAAACGAACACTGTTAGTAGTTATACTACTATAAAACACACATTTAATCTCAGACGCAAGTTGATTTAATATCGGTTACAAAGGTGAGGTGACAAAGGGTGTCATAATAACTCGCCACTTAACTCTTCAATTTTTGAATAACCAAGGGGATAGTTGAAATATTTCTTGGCTCGACCCCCAACATACCTCTTGGTTTATGACCAAAACCGAGGGATAAAATAAATTATTTTATTAAATACTCACTATATTGTTTACACATGATATAATAAATTAACTTGTTTATAAACTACATTGTTTACGCAAAATATTACATTGTTTGCACAAAATATCAAAGTAAAAATATATAATAAAAAAACTAAATCTAATTCATCATCGTCACTGTCAGTGAAGAACAAATGATGGATCCTCTTTTCATTGAAATCTTGAAAAAGAGAAAATGTTGGATACAATATATTCTCGATGGCTTTTCTATTTATTTGTTTCTGATATAAAGCGGAAAAAAAGTTACATAAATAAAATAAATATTTAGTTATATGATTATTGAAGAACATAAACCTTGAACCCAAATAATTTTCCGCTATTGCAATCCATCATAGAGAACTTTACCTAGTTTCTTTACGTTTCAAAGTTTTCATGTCAAATATTTCATTATCAATTTTTGATATTCATAATGCTTTTATAAAGAATATATTTTAGGTTTCATGTGGATCTCTAATGGCACTATCTTAAGTGTTACTACTCATTGAATAGACGACATATATTTGTTTAAGGACGATGAAGAAACTCAATAAACACGCCTATATATCCCCTTGGTTATGTGTCTGTTGGATAGGATTTTTACAAAGGGGTCAAAATCCAACCAAAAGAAAAAAGGGTTCTTTGAAGATTTTGGATTATAGGAAGTCGACCACAAAAGCTGTAGACCGGAAAAGGTTTCACAAAAGGCTAAATTGGGCTTGTAGACGCAGTGGACCAGAAGAGAGGCCTCACGAGGAATGAATTGGGCCAAAGAGTGTTAAAAAGCCCAAAAGAGGGAATAACTTACAAAGCAAAGCTTTGTGAATAGAGAACATGGGTACGATAGTAAGAATGAAGAACATGGATTCATGAAGGGAAGTTACAATAAAGAACATGAGTTCGATAGCAAGAATGGAGAGTGTGGGTTCATGAAGGGGAGCTACAAGGGACACGTGGCTCATAAGGAAGCCAAGCTCGCCAAAAAGTAGTTATTTTCATGTATTATAAATCAATCACTTAGTGCTAGCGTAAGAGGTTCAAACTTTCATATTCCTACACGCTAGTCACTCAGAGTACCCAAGGGAATGAGCGAAATGAGTTAAGCACGAGCGATGTATGTTTGAATAAACCCATTTTCAATTGTTTTGATGTTATGTCATCTATTTTTACAGTTTAAAACATATTTTTTTTAATTTTACGATTCCTCCTTTATTGCTTTTAGGTCCGTTTCGCCTTAGTCGAACAAACCCTTTTGGACACACTTTGTGAAAAGACTCGAAAACTGAAGCATTGTACTGAGATTCCCTGGTCGATCTCGCCAGTAAACTTTCTGTTAAGAGACCAGTGTTTTGTACTAAAACCAGAGGTAAACAAATTGGCACGCCTAGTGGGATAATGTGAAGATGTGAAAAACACAAGAAGGGGGGTTGAATTGTAAATTGATAACGCAATTTTATATAGTATATTTGGCTTAATTTTCATAGGTAATGTTAGTATTTTTATTTAATTATTTCATTTTATTTCCATATTACGTTGGTATTTCTTTTGTTTCAGGTATTTGTATTAAATAGAAGATAAATTGAGAAAAGAAAGAAATTGAGGGAAAAATCGGATTAAAAAGCCAAAGAAATGAAGTAAAAGGGGTGATATAGCAAAAAGGAGGAGTTAAGAAGAAAGAAATAATTACAAAGAAAAAGACTAAGCCCAGAAGAGCAAAAAGACGTGCGTCTCAACTCTCCTCCTACAATTGAGGCGCCCGCCTCGGACTTTCCCCTTAGTGGGAGGCGCCCGTCTCAGCATGGTCAAAGGAAGAACAAGTCAATGGAGGCGCCCGTCTCAACGTGGGCAAGTAAGAAACGAGAAATTCATGGATATGTGTCCCATGTTCTCCCATGATTCTGGTAGTTATTCCCATGTTCTCCCATGATTTTGGTAGTTATTCCCATGTTCTCCCATGATTCTGGTAGTTATTCCCATGATCTCCACTAGCCTTCGTACAACATGGAAGCGGGAAGTTACAAATGAAGCCTATAAATACAAGTTCAACCTTCAGAGCAAGGGTCGGCGAATTTTACCGAACAACCGTTATTTAGTCTTTCTTTATTTTTCTGTTTTCGTATTTACTTTTCAGTTTTGTATTTCTACCATAATTTTCTAGTTCGGTTTCTTTCTTTAGCTTTTATTTTAGTTTAAGTTTCTATAATTTTCACTGATCTAACCTTACGTTAGATCTAGTGCCTTTTTATTTCTTGTCGTAATTTTTCTTTTCAATTCAAGAAGTCTCCGAGCAGATCCAACCGACTTGTGGGGGAATGCTCGTTTATTTCGAGGAACAAGATTATTCAAGCATTATTATTATATCCAGGTTCTTAATATAATTATTTTAATTTATTTAATTAATTATTTGCATGAGAGATATTTATTTAGCCATGAATTTATTTACGAATGTTAATTCCTTTAATGTATTCATGTCTGCTTTTATGAGTATGTCTGGCTAAATTATTTAAATATCGGTATGTAACGAGTTAATTCGAATGGATCCGGAATAAACAGGCTTGATTATATTTCATAAAATAAACACTTTTTCTGATTTAGTTATCTAGTTTATTTTGTTAAAAAGGTTTAGAAACCAACAGAGCGACAGTTTGAGGTTAATAAACCGACTAAGATTAGAAACTAACAGAGCGACAGTTTGAGGTTTAGAATCAGATAGTAGATGCTAGGTATTGTTTTTAAAGATGGCGACAGCGTTTTAAAACCAATTAAACTTTATTTATTTTCAAAAAGTAATTTTAAAATCAATGGGATGGCGAAAGCGTACATTAGAGTTTAAAATTATAATTTACTTCAATAGAGCGAAAGTTTGAGAATAGATTTTTGAATAAATACTTTTTGCTGAAAAAGATATTATTATCATTTTTAGAAAATAAGCCTGTGGAAAGCCGGATTCTCTAGAGTTAACGAAGTACATACCGATATCCGTTTTATTTATATTTATATTCCTTAACCAATATTCTAAAAGAACTATTCGCCTTAGATGTGTACCGTAACTTAGGATAACAATAGATCGATTTATAGTCTCTGTGGGTTCGATATCTTTTAAAACTACGCGATAGGACTGTGCACTTGCAGTCTCCCGATTAACAGACGATAAAGTCGCGATCAAGTTTTTGGCGCCGTTGCCGGGGACTATTTAAGTCGATATTGTAACTCTGGTGTTACACCATATAGACTAAGGCACCTTTACTTTATTTACTATGTATAACCCAAATTTTTCCTACGCCCATTATCAGTATTTTGAGGAACCACAAGTATATCATAGATCCAACCTTGAAATACTGATGGAAGATTTCAATGCTTCACAAACCTACTCTTACCCAAATTACCTCCAAAACTACCAATCCCCACATTTTGAGGAACCACAAGAAACTCATAATTTCAACCAAACTTTTCCTCAACCCAATTCTCTCTATAATTACCACACCCAATATTTTGAAGATTACCCAAATCATCTCCCCAACTACCAATCCCACTATTCTGAGGGATCGCAAGAATCTTATACTTCCAACCTAACTTATTCTCAACCAAATTTCCTCTACAATCATCACGCCCAATATTCTGAGGAATCATACGAGCCCCAACATCCAGTTCTCAACGCATTAATGAAAGATATGGATGAGACACTGCATCGCTCTAGGCTAGAGACTATGAAGATGAAGCATTTTACGGAAACACTAAAAGCAAGGCAATTTCACTTCGAGGAACCACATGAATTCGATAATTTCGGCCTCACAACATCAATGGAGGATTTCGAAGAGACGCTAACTCACTCTAGACTAGAATCTATGGTAGAGAACTTTATAGAGACACAAACTATCCAAAATGAAGCGATAAGAAATCGAAGCCTTCAAAATGATCAAACCCTTAGGCAGCTAAACAATGTGGTTGAGTCCCTCGTGACTCACAACATGGCCATGGAGACCCAAATTTCCATGTTCGCACAAAACCCTCTAGGACCTTTCCCCGAGGAGCATGTGGATGTTGAAGCAACCGTTAGTGAAAAACAATTTGAAAGCCCTGAGAGTGATAATGAGTTTGAGGA